TATATGTCTGCTCAAGGTCGGAGGAAAGCTCAGAGTCTGCCTTAGTGGAAGCTGAGGGTGGTCAGATGGTCTCCTAGTTGTGATATCTATCTTCTCCCACTGCGTGATATATTATTATTATTATTATTTTATATATGGGAGGGGTGCAGGTCAGCAATGAGGATGAGCCCCCCCCAAATTAGCCCCCCCCCAGCTTGGACAAGGTCCAGGTGGGGAAGAAAGTAACTCTGGCGCTAATAGCAAAGCATCCCAAGAGCGCATAGAGACTCCACGACCTAGTAAAAGGTATCAGGCAAAACAAAGGTCTCCGCAGACAGCAGTCCCTGGATAGTGCAGGAGCAGAATCCTACTCCCAAAGCACAGCTTCGCAAATAGCCCCCAATAAAGGCCAGGAACCCAGCGGCTCTCCACAGCTCTGCTGTTCAAAATTTGGCAGCCTTCTCCTCATGGTGCGCAGGCGAAAGAGTCCCTCAGCACCTCCACGGTCAGCCTGTTAATCAAAATGGCACAAGGGTGGGAAACAGCCCGTTGCACCTCCGCGGTCTTCACAGCAAGCTGGGCCAACAAAGCACGCAAACAACAGTGCTCCTAGCGCAGCGAAGCCAGTGCAGTCAATCTGAAGAGCAGAATATGCCACAGCGCCCCGGGTAGTGACTCCGAAGCCGCCCAAAAGTCCGTGGAGCTGAGGGGGGTGGCAGCAGTTGTACAGGCAAGCCGGGGAAGCAGCGCACTCACCGGCGGCAATTTCAAGTAAACGGAGATGGCCAGGCAAGGCCAGAGCCCTGTAACTCTGCCACAAGGATCCCTGGCAGTGAAAGCTGGCTGGAGCCCCAGGAACGACTTACCACTGCTGGCAGCGGAGGAGGGGAAGATCGGACATCCCAGCCTCCTCAATCCACAGATCGGTGCAGCTCCAGCAACAATTAAATGTGAATTTCGAAATTCTTCAGGTTGAAAAATCCAAGGGTATAGGAGATAGAGGAAATAACAGTCTCTGTAGCCTGACTGAGTGAATAAAACTGAGCCTCAGCCAGGCAGGGGAGGCGGAGTCAGGAACATTTAAAGAAACATTCACTCAGTCTCTGGCTAACAGATTAGGAATAACCCATACCTTAGGATTCTCCAAGCAGCACGCTGGAGAAGCTGCTTTTTCAATTGACTGAAAATTTCAATTGTCAATGTAGATGGTGGCCAAATGACACTGCAGTTGTTTTGTGATTGCATCCAAGGCACCTATTACTACAGGTGCTATCTTTGCTCTCTTTTGCCATGGTTTTTCGTTATTTCTTGTTTTCAACTTTTGTAAATTTGCAACGGATAAACACTTTTTCTTCCAGTACAATTTGGAGCACACTTATTTTGAACATTCGGCTGCTGCATATTCCATTTCTGGTTAAATTCCTCAATATAGATAGTCCTCAACTTACAACACTTCATTCAGTGACCATTCATAGTTATAACAGCACTGAAACAAGTAACTCATGACAGCTTTTCACACTTACGATTGTTGCAGCATCTCCGTGGTCATGTGATCAAAATTAAAATGCTTGGCAACTGACTCATATTTATAACGATTGCAGAATCCTGGGGTCAGGTCAGTGATGGGTTGTTCCCGGTTCTGTCTGGTTCTTTAAAACTGGTAGTAAACGTGGTGGGAGGCTCCGCCCACCCACCCGGATGTCATAATTGACGATCTGCGCATGCGCAGAAGCTTCCCATTGCGAACCGGTAGTAAAGGTTTAGTAGAACCCACCCCTGGGTCAGGTGATCACCTTTTGCAATCTCTTGACAAGCAAAATCAATGGGGAAACAAGGTTCACTTGACCTTGTTAACCTTGTGACTAAATTAACAGCTAAAATGATCATCGTAAAATGGGGCAAAACTTACTTAACAAACGTTTCTCTTAACAACATAAATGTTGGGTTCAATTGTGGTTGGGTTCAATTCAGCTGTAGTCTTGCAGCTGTTGGCCCTGGTTGCTCAGCATAACCGTTCTGAGTCCTGTAGCCTATTTGCCACCAGATGTCCATGAACAACATCTAGTGTGCTCCTTGTTAGTATCATGGTTCATTGCACAGTCAGTCAGATATTTAGACTGCATTTGGCATTTTTGTCCACCTATTGAGTCCTTATTGTTTATTGTTTATTGGTTCGATTTATATGCCGCCCTTTTCCGGAGACTCAGGGCGGCTTACAATGCGTTAAGCAATAGCCTTCATACTTTTGTATATACCTGCTTAGAAGGGCTTTGCCTCCCCCCCACCCGCCGCGGTGTTCTTTTTTATACAAAGTCAGCTTATTGCCGGGTTCTCATTTTACCTACCTCGAAAGGATGGAAGGCTGAGTCAACCTTGAGCCTGGTGGGATTTGAACTTGCAGTAATTGCAGGCAGCTGGTGCTACTTAACAGTGCTTTAGTCTGCTGCGCCACCAAGGCTCTTCCCATGGGATGGGTTGGTATTTCATGGTGTTACAAGTATCATCACAGGATATAAGCAGTTCCAAATAAAATTGCTTTTTGCAATTGATTGATGGTGAATTTGTCAATGTTATTACTACTATTTATGCAAGTGCCTTCCAATCAGTACTGATTCTGCAGTTTTCTTAGCAATGTTTTCAGAAGTGATTTGCCATTGTCTTCCTCCTAGGACTAACAGAAAGTAACTGGCCCAAGGTTACCTAACTGACTTTGTGCCTAAAACAGGATTAGAACTCAGCATCTCCCAGATTTTAGCCAAATGCCTTTACCAAACTGCCTCTCAGGCTGGAGTAATTTGGAAAACTCTTAATTGTTAGAAAAAAAAATGTAAAAGCAAATGTGTAAGATGGTAAAGATATGTACATCAGGAAGGGTTAAAAAAAATTAAAATGGCAGCTACAACCATACCTTTTTAAAATTCAGCTTGACATATTAGAAACAGGCAGCGTGTTTCTCATAGATAATTTGTACAGTATCTTCTTTTTGAAATTGGATGAAAGGTAACCAATTAGCTGCAAAGAAGATTTTATGCACAAATGCAATTTAATACACTCGCTGGATTTTCCTGTTATGATTGAACCCCATCTACTTTTAAAACATTAATCTGTGCAAAAGTTTTCTGCATTTTTCCAGGTTTTAGAAACTAATCATTTAGCCGAGAAAAATCACATACCGTATTAGCACCCTATTCCTTTGTGTGATGTCTTCACTTCCATACAGTTTTTAATAGAGCAATTTCATGCCTTTTTAACTAACTTTTTCATTCAGTGATTGCAGGCAGGATGGGGGTGGAAAGGAACTGTTGTAGCATATTATTCAATTCTTGGCATCGCTAATTAGCAGAATAATAGCACACTATTTGTGTGTGAGTTTGCATGGATGTGTAACATCCACATCAGTTCAAAGAGATTCTTAAAAACCCAGAGATAACAAAATCCCTCAAACTTTCATCATAAAGTAGAATTTATACCAGGCTTGTATTATTGAGTATTAACCTTTTCTTTTGTCTCTGGATTTTAGAATTGTTCAGAAAATCACTATCCTCACTTTGATAATATTGAATGGATAGTGTAATAAAAAGGAAGGACTCGCCTTTCTACAAATGACAGCAAATTCCAAGATAATCTTTCTTTTGGAGTATATATTCCTGTGAATTTACACATTATTTGACCACTAGGAGGCAGAAATATATAAAACCAAAGGAATACAATATTCTGAAAACAGCCCTTTCCCTGGAATGGAGACGATTCATGGGAAGTCATGACCACACAAGAGCTTTTTCGCTCTAATTTGAGAGCTCAAATAAGGGGGAGAGAATTTTAAAATATCTTTCCTTGCAAAGAAAGGAAATGCTATAGATAGATCGTATTCTGATAAAGTACAGCTAGTCCTTGACTTACAACAGTTCATTTAGTGCCCGTTCAAAATTACAATACTGAAAAAAGTGACATCACTGTTTTTCACAGTTATGACCTTTGCATCATCCTCATAATTATGTGATCAAAATTCAGATGCTTGGCAACTGATTCATATTTATGACCATTGCTGTGTCCCAAGGTCATGTGATCCCCTTTTGTGACCCTTCTGACAAGCAAACTCAACGGGGAAGCCAGATTCACTTGACAGTTGTGTTACTAAGTTAACAACTGCATTGATTCACTTGACGACTGTGGCTAGAAAGGTCATAGAATGGGGCAAAACTCACCTAACAAATGTCTCACTTAACAACAAAAATGTTGGGCTACATTCAGGGGTGGGTTGTACTTACCTTTACTACTGGTTCGCAACGGGCCACACACGAGTGCTTGGTTCGTGCGCGCTTCTGCACATGCGCAGAAGCTTCCTGATGACATCAGGGTCAGTGGGTGGAGCCTCCCGCCGGTTTTACTACTGGTTCTATAGAACCAGTCCGAACCAGGGGCAACCCACCACTGTCTATATTGTGTCGTAAGTCAAGGACTACCTGTATGGATGTTTAAAATGGCCCTCCCCCTCTCTGTCTTGGGTTCTTTTCCACTCACAGAAATCTAGAGGAAAAGAGTTGGGGGTTGGAATATGCAAAATGACATTATGTTACAAACCCAAAGATGTTTTTTCAAAAGGCAAATAAACTTGGTTTTTCATTATGTTGCAAACTTTATGTCTTAAATGTGAGGTAAGGATACAATAGGTTGGGAATTGTGTTGAAATGTCCCAGCACAATTTTTACCATGTTTTTATTTGTCAAACGAAAATTACAAATTCGAACAAACAAAATGAAAATAATTAAAATGTGACAGGGACATTAGGCATGTCAGTGCAGTTATGCATGCCACCCCCTTAAATATGAGGTGAAGTCCACAGTTGTCAATTCAGAATCAAAACATTTGTTAGCACCATTTGTAATGGATACTATGTTTTAATCATTTACATTAGGGCTTTTCAAACTTCTCAAGTTGTGAAATCTATTATTTTTAAAAGAAAAAATCCCGAGGCAAAATTCTAATGCAGAAAATGGATGTGTGAACCAACCTTCCTTCCTTCCTTCCTTCCTTCCTTCCTTCCTTCCTTCCTTCCTTCCTTTCATTCCAGGGGTGATGACAGTGTCTAAGTACTCAGTTTTCTTGATATTGAGGCGGAGTCTGAAATGGTTGAGATGATCAATGGTCAGCAGTAAATTGGCGCAAGATAAGAGTCAACAGAATTCAAAGGGGGATGGACCTAGATTGTTGTGACAACATAAGGATTCTAACCTGATGACAGATTTAACTCCCCCTCCCACCTCTGCCAGCACTTCTGCTACACTTATCTCCTGTATGGATAAAGGCAGTTAATTTATTCATTTATATTCAAGACATTTGAATAAAATTTCAGCTTTCATTTCCTTGTATGTTTGGCTTGTAAGCATTTTTCCCAAGGAGACTGAAAAATGTTTCTAGAATTATTTATTCATAGCTATTAAATATTTTAGGGCTGTTTTCTTGCTAAAATAAAATTCAGTAGCTGCTATTAATTCAATGTACAGGATTAATTCAGTATATAGTAAACTGAAACTGAATGATCAACTGCCATAATTTGGCAATGTTTTCTTAGTTCATTAGATTATTGGTTTTTAATATTGGTAGCATTTGAATATGAATCTGTCCTGTCATTCTGAGCTTTGATTACAACTTGGAAGAAAAACTAGCAAAACTTTTGTAAATAAAATTGTTCTGGGATGCAATTGAATCAACTAAACTTTAAAAACAAAATTTTTACCAACCTGTTCTGGGATCTTTTTATCTGACATTGCTGCTGAATAAACTGGAAATTGTATTAACTGACATCTTCTATCTGAATCTATAATCATTTCAGTTTCATTGAGCCAGTATATTTGGATGACATGGCAAGGTAACCCATGGGTTTTTCAAATCTTCTAGAATTTTTGACTACTATATGTTCTGCAAATGAGGGAACTGAAAGAAAAGAATAAAATAAAAACCTAACTAGAGAGTTTGTTTCCAAAATGAAACCTGTAGACTGGATGTACTATTGACTGAACACAAACACTTGATGATGCAACTGTATATTTTGGAACTATGCCTGGTGAGAGCAAAATGGAGAAATACAGAGTGGAAATAAAATATATGGAGAAAGACTTGCAAAAATTACATGAGGTGTGGGGTTATCAAGTCTCCAAGAGAATTTCCTCTCTTGTATTACCAACCATCACCTCCAATGAAACTAGTCTGATCTAGTGATTAAGGCTAGGAAGTGGGAGACTGTGAGACACTTAATGCTAGTCCCACCATAGGCAAAGCAGTCAGCTGGATGACTATGGGCCGATCACCAGGGGACTGTGAGTTCTAGTACCGCCTTAGCCATGAAAGCCAGAAGGTGATTAATTGAGCCAATCACCTTCTCTCAGCCCAATTCATCTCATAGGGTTGTGGTTGTGGGGAAAATAGGAGGAGGAATGTATAGGTTCACCACCTTGAGATATTTGTAAAAATATTGAAGGGAGGGAGGGAAGGAGAGAGGAAGGGGTGGAGAGAAGGGGTGGAGGGGAAGGAGAGCGAGGGAGGGAGGGCACAAGATAGGAAGATGAAGATGCTTTGGATACATTCTTGAGTTATTAGGGAATCAGCTTGATGCTTCCTTGAAGAGGTGTAGTGATGCCCTTTGGTTACCAAGAAAGATGGTGAGATACATTTCATTGATTCCTAGATATTCGTTTTATAAGTAAACTCTCTAACTAGTAGATGTCCCTGGAAACTTCATACTGGTCAGGGAAGGGAGTAAGTATAGTTTGTTGTTCAACAAAGAATAGACTTCTTGTATGTTTCAAGAAACCTGATAGTATTGTTAAAGCAGTGTTTCCCTACCAGGTCTATGACATCTTGGCACCACCATCTCAACACTGGGCAATTCACCAGGGAAAACTCACTATGGGGCAACTCGAGCCCCCCCCCCCCCCCATAGAACCTCAGTTTAATAGGAGGCTGTAGTGTTGCGATGGGCTGAGTCTCTGCATCTAGCCTCCTGTGGGCACAGCTGATCAGTTGGGTTGGAGCATGTACGCTCCGTGTGGCTGTCTATGGTGTCACTGTTGCTGCCCTTGCTCAAGAGGCCCATCCCACTCGGCACCCACCTACTGGGGAGGCCTTCCACCCAGACCATATTCACTTGTTCCTTTTTCCATGCAGACCCTTGTGGGAGGGTGGCATCCATGCCAGTTTCATGTTATGCTGTCCACCTGCCACCTGCCAGGAGAAAGACAGCTCTCCCTTGCAGTGCAATGACACCACAGACAGCCACACGGAGTGGATGTGCTCCAACTTGACTGACTGGCTGTGCCCGCAGGAGGTCAGATCCAGTATTATGACCCATTGCAACAATGTGATTGATGCCGCCTCCTGCAAAGAGAGGTGTGTGTAGGATGCATCAAGTTGCCCCTCAGAGAATTTCTCCTGGTGATTTGTCCTATGCCAAGATGGAAGTGCTGAGATGGCCAATTGGCCATGCTGAGATGGCCATAGCAAGATGGCGGTGCTGAGATGGCAGCGCCAATATGTTCTATTCCATTCCTTACTTTGGCAACTTTAAGACATGGACATCAAATCCCAGAATTCCCCTGCCAGAATTGAAGTCCACATGTCTTAAAGTTGTCATGGAAGGAGAAATTATAAAGAAAATTTTAGAATGTGCAGAAATGAATAGATTAACATTGAGAATAAAAGATAAAAAGGAATTGATGTATTTCAAGACATGAGATAAATTTTATGACTGGTTAGAAAAGAAACATGAATAAAGACATAGAGATAAAATAGATAGAGAATAGATGGGAGAAAACAATTAGAAAAATAGATACCCAGATGATGTCAAGTAAAAGGAGAAAGGGGGGTGGTAAAAGGTAAAAAAGTGAGATATTATAAAAATGTACGCAAATGATGAAATAAAAATAAATAATAATTGAATAAGAAATTGAAATGAAAATAAAGATAATTAGGAAATCGGGGCTCGAATACCACTTTAAATTGAACTGAAAAGGGAAACAACAGGAGAGAGGGGAAGGAGTAGAGAGAGATGAAGGGAAAAGAGAGGAGAGGAGAAAGAAGAAAGGGAAAAGGAGAGGAAGAAGAAGGAGGGGAAAGAGGAGTAGAGGAGAAGGTTAAAAGGGGGAAGAAGAGAGGAGTGGGGGAAGAAAAGGGGAAGTAGGAAAGAGAAGGAGAGGAAGAACAAAGGAAGTAGGAGGAGAAACAGGAAGGAAGAGAAAGGGGAGGAGAAGAAGAAAGTTGGAGTAAATGTTCTGCCCAAGACATCAATCTCTCCGTCTCCGCCATCATGTCTTTGGACCTCGTGCCCCCTTGGTGATTTAGATGGGCCTTTGTGGCCATACTGTCTGTTAAGATGAGAACATGTTTGTCCCTTATCTGAGGCAAAAATTGAATCAACGCCAACCTCACCGCCCGTAGTTCTGACCAGTTGATACTGTGTTGTCGTTCCAGAGGGGACCAAGTCCCTTGCGCAAGAGTCAAGTCCAGGTGTGCGCCCCAGCCATATAGGCTGGCATCCGTGGTAATTGTAACTCGCTGAGGCTCGAGGAAGAGAGTCCCGGATTGAAGCGCCGGAAAGACCCACCAGCGAAGAGACTCCCGCACACGACGGGGGACCAGAACTTTGGTTAATGATTCTGACTGACCTGTCCGTTGAAAAGGAAGCAGGAACCACTGCAGTTGACGGGAGTGGCGGCGAGCCCACGGCACAATGTGAATGCAAGAAATGAACTTTCCCAAGATTTGGGACAACAAGTGGAGTGGCACAGAGGTCATTGATAGAATCCGGTGTACAATGTCCCTGATACTGGTCTGGCAGTCCGGGGAGAGAAATACACGGCCTTGTAAAGAATCTATAATCGCCCCCAGGTGTAGAATGGTCATCGTTGGAGAAAGATGGCTCTTGTCTAAATTGAGGACGAAACCATGGCTCTGCAGGATATGAATAACAGTCTGTCTGTCCCGATGTGCCTGGGGAGGAGAGGCCCACAAAAGCAGAATATCGTCCAGGTAACAAACAATGCAGATGGATCACTCCCTCAACGAAGCCGCCAAGGCCGCTAGAATCTTTGTGAACGTCCTCGGTACCGAGGACAGTCCAAACGGCATGGCCTTGTATTGAAAATGCCATTTGTCGTAAGCGAAGCAGAGGAAGCGTCTCTGACATGGGTGTATTGGCACGTGGAGATAGGCTTCCTTGATGTCGATTGATTGCATGAGATCCCCACGCCGTATGCATCCGAGGATGGAGCGGAATGAATGCATTTTAAAACGCCAATACAACATGTAGAGGTTGAGTTGTTTAAGATTGAGAATTCCCGTCCAACCCCCCGAACTCTTGGGAACCAGAAACAATATTGAATAAAATCCGGTCCATACCTGATCCTCCGGAACCGGCTCGATGGCCTCTATGTCCAACAGGTGTTGGATTTCTAGAGCCATGAGATGCCTCTTCTGAGGGGAGCCCAACAGAGGGCACTGAATGAAACGATTCAGGGGGGTGGAGGTGAATTCCAGAGTAAGGCCTGTGGTGATAGTGCGTAGAAGCCAGGCGTCCATAGAAGCATTGTCCCACTGTTGGTAAAATAATTGTATCTGCCCGCCGATGGAGAGATGGGACGGTGAGTCACTTGCCGCGCCTGAAAGAGCAGAAACCGGAGCCCCGGAAGGGTCGCTTGAAACTTGGTTGTCGTCTGCCCCTGTGTCGAAAGGAAGAGCGATCAGATGATGAATACTGCCCTTGGGCGGAGGGTCGTTGAAAATAGGATCCACTGGGTCCTAGGTCTGCACGAAAGGGTGGCCATGTATAAGGGGTGTAACAACGGTCCGGGCGTCTGTACGATGTAGAGAGAACTTTTCTTTTATCACGACCCTCGACCAAAACTGGCTCCAAAGCTGGTCCAAAGAGAGCTGACCCCTTATAAGGTGCTGCCGTAAGCCTCCATTTGGACTTCAAGTCAGCCCTCCAATGACGAAGCTATAGAAGCCGACGAGACACCACCATGGAAGCCAGGGCCCTGGATGCAAATTTAGCCGCATCGAAAGACGCATCGGCAGAATACTCGGCTGCTGCGATTAACTTAGTCACATCCTGATGTATACGAGCCTCTTCTGGAGGCAACTTGTCTCGAAGCTGGCGAAGCCAGATAAATGACGGTCTATTAAAAAACGAGGCAGATGTGGCAGCCCGGATGGCCCAAGCGGCTGCCTGGTGAGTCTTCCTAAAAGACATCTCTGCTCTTTTATCCTCCATCTTAAGATCATCTCCTACATCCCCTGCCAGAACTGAGGGAGACATGAGACTGGAAACAGGCTCATCCACCGCCGGCAGTTGCAATAAGGCATAAAGTTCTGGGGCAGCGCAATACATCTTTTTGTCATGACCGGAAGGGCCAGAAAGAGACCCAGGGCGTTCCCATGGCCGCTGAATTACTTGTGAAAACAAATCAGGGCATGGCACAAAGTCAATGTCAGGTTGAGATAACTTGAATAAGGACTCATTAGGATTGGTCTGCTCCTGCGAAGAAGAAGCAGGATCAAGTATTTGCCCATATTGGTTGCCACCTTTGCCTTATGCAAGAGCGATTTAAAGAGGGCAGGTCTAAAAAGGCCAGGAAAGGCAGGTTTATCTAAGAACTCCTCCTCATCTTCGGACAGTTCAAAGTCTTCGAGGTAATCCTCATCTTGAACTGAAGCCTCAGACTGGTTATATGACTGACTTGAGGAGGGCTGGACCCTGGGTGCAGCCGGAACAGAGTCAGATGTACTCGCAGAAGCACCCAAGAGAGCCTGTTGGTGTAACCCAGCTTGGAAAATAGTGGCAAATACCTGGGACAAAATGGATTGAAAATCAGGTGTCGGAGCAGGATTAGAGACTCCCACATCTTTTAGGCTGGCCACCCTGGAGGTAATATGGTCTGTGGAATTGTTAGTGGGGTGCAGAGGCACAGAACCCTGTAACCTACTTTCCCCTTGAATGCAACTCAAATCATGGCCTTGAGGGACAAGGATAATATCATCCTGTGGCTAAGGTACAATATTAGGGTCTTGAGGGTGAGAAATGGGAGGAGCAGGCGGTTGGACCGCAGTGTCCTCCACAGGCAGCGCAGAAAGGCCATCGGATTGGTTAGCTGTCTTTGCCTTATTAAATTGCCTTTCCAAGGCATTATGTTGTCTCATGGCATCTTTATCTATTGTCCCAGTGTGGTGGGTGATAGACTTGGAACCTGACTTGGACCCACCCTTAGTCTTGGCCTTTCTTTTCCCTGTGGGTTTAGGGGAAGGTGCCCTATCTGGGAAAGCCTCAAGCTCAATATCAGATGACAAAGGAGAGTCTGCCATAATCAATTGTATAGACTAATATTATTAATTTTTTGTAATTAATTTTTTTCTTTTCTTTTTTTTTTAAATATAACTGAGAATATATATATATATATATATGTGAGAACACACTTCCCTTTAGAAGATCAACTTCTGCCAGCTGGAAGAATCAGGGAGACAGAAGACTGCAGGAATTCAAGCAGCAATGCTACGCTTCGCTTCCCTTGAATCTGTGGAAAGAAACCTCCATGTCAAAATGGCCACCATAAAAAAGGAGCACCAGAAATGGCATCCTAACAAACAGCCCTGCAGCGAAGCTGCAAGCGCCACCAAATAAGGCCGGTAAACCCAAAATTGAGGCAATCAGGCGTCCAGCAAGTCAAAGCAACATCTCTGCTGTCACAGCCAATTTTTGGCGGGCAAAGCAAAATGGCAGGAAGCCTCAACCGCCGCAAAGCTGTCTCCCCACATCAGTGTATGCCGCTAAAGGGCAGGGACCCTGGAGCCGCAAAATATCCAGAGAAGCTGAGAGGGTGGGGGCGGATATACCGGCAACTGGGGAACCAGCTCTGCCACCCGCTGCACCAGAAGGCAAGCAAACAAACGCGCCTCTCAGCTGGGTGAAATTTGAAGATTGCGCCTCTCAGCTGATGTTCTGAGTGAAAAGGCGGCCAAACGGCTCACAGCTGAAGCCTGACGCCGCAGCTCGCAAAAAGCAACTGTCCCTTGTTGCGCAGCTCTCCGCGATAGTTAAAACACAAAAAAGGTGAAATTGCCAATTTAAAGCTCCGCAGAGCGAAATAAGAGGTGAAAAAATAAGCATGCCTCTCAGCTGTCAGGAGGAGCGAAAATGGCGGCTTGGTGGCTGAAAGCCGAACTCAAAGCCACCGCTCCCAATTTAAACACAATTGAACACACAGAAAAGGAAAAAGGAAAAAACCCAATTCTAGTAAAAATACAGCAAAAAATGGCCAATTTTAAAAGAGAACAAGCACTTAGGTCTGATCCAATCCACTGAGTGAAAAAGACTGACAGGAGCAAGCAGTGGGCAGGACAAGGACTGCAGAGGAAAATATTATGAGCACTCAGTACAACCAATCACAACTGAAGGAACCCATTAGTAGGATTGTCGGAGCAGCGAGTCAGGAAAAGAAGAAAGTTTGGAGTAAAGGTAAAGGGTAAAAGAGCAGGCCCCCAAAAAGTAAAAATGAAAAATGAAAGTTAAAAGAAAAGATGAATGAAAAATGATGGAAATGACTGCACATGTAAATGTGTTTATGAAAAATAAAAATAAAAACTTTATATAAAAAAAAGCAAGATGGTGGTGCTGAGATGGCAGCGCCAATGTGTTCTATTCCATTCCCTATCTTGGCAACTTTAAGACATATGGACATCAAATCCCAGAATTCCCCAGCCAGAATTGAAGTCCACATGTCTTAAAGTTGTCATGCTTGGGAAACCCAGTCTACGTTAAAGGCATTTTCTTTAGTGCATTATTGAAATATCTAGATCTGGTCAAATGTCATCTTCCCCTCTACAAGTCCAAGATAACCCAAGTCCCTTGCATCTCTAATGCAAGCAATTCTTTGTCAAGAAAATGGAGAAAATGCTGCATTTCTCTCACTGCAGGAGATGAATGTGGTTTTCCAAATCTGTGAAACAAAAAAAAAAAATCTGTGCCTTGTGTTAAATTTTTACCATATGTTACTTATAACTCCGGTTCCGTCCAGTTGGATTACTACAGTCTTCTCCAACCTAGTGCCTGTCCAGATGGGCTAAAACTACAGTTCCCAGCATTCCAGAGGACTATGAGCTACTGGCTCCAGATGTCCTCTGGAAGAACCATCATAAAGCAGCTTTGATGATCTGAGATGGACATCCAGTTAATATTTTAATATTAAAAATGAGTGAAGATGACCATCTGTGGTGCAAACTGTATATGCCTGACAGGTTGTTACTTTTGATAAGGAACACAACAATTTAACTTGGTTCTATTGAACTTACCAGCAAGGGACACGTCCCACTTGAATGACAAACTCAGTGCTTTTGATCTAACAATCACTTTCTAATATTGGGGGGAGGGATTGTTCGAAAAGAAAGAGTAGCTGGAGCCAGGCAGGAGAAACTAAAATTCATTTCATTTAAGTAATTAAGTGGAATAGGATCAAGCTTAAAATTAGATTATGGAAATGAAAATGATTACTCATCACATAGCTTTTTAATATTTTTTCCTCCCCTTTGTCCCATAAAGAATATTAATGTGGTGAGGTTTTGCATCCTACAATGAAGTCTTGTGTGGGAGCATATATTTCAAACAATAAAACTGAGGCGGGTGTGGGGGAATCTTCCCTATCTCCTTAGAGACACAGGCAGTATTCATAGTACAAACGATAGTAAACAGAGTAGTTATCTAAAATAATATAAAACAAACTTAAATCAATTAGGATTCCAGAAAAAAATGATGCCCTTCTCTTTCAAATAAGACTATTTATCAAGTTTATATGGTGGGCAATATTTGGCTTGTACCCCTGGCTGAAGATTTAATCATATGTACTTTTATATTCAGAATGGGGTTGGAGAAAACAGTTAGCAGCATTTTTCATACTCAGAAGACATATAAATGGAATGGAATAAAGAACATTTTATTTTATCTGCCATGCTTGGAAGTACAGCTAGAAGACAATTGATTAGAACTTACGCAATTCCCAGTTTAAGCAACCTTGGAAGTGTCATAGACTTTGATGTTTCTTCATCCAGAACAAATGTACTTTTCTGGCAGAATGGAGAAGTTTCGATGTTATTAACAAACCCTGTGAGCTGAAATTTTAAGGTTAGATAGCATCAGACTCATCAAGTGACTTTCCAGAGATCCAAAATTTAAATATGGGTAGTCCTCGAATTACAGCCACAATTGGGACCAGTGAGACAATTGTTAACTGAGTTGTACCCAA